CAAGTCTTACGGAGTGTGCTCATAATCCAACAATTTGCAATTAATTAATCTTTAAGTAAGGTATTGGTTGAGATAAAAAAGTCAGTTCACGAGCGGGATTCGAACCCGCGACCTTCGGCTAAATACGCCGCTGCTATACCACTTGAGCTACCGTGACTTCGATCCACTCGGACACCAAGTTCCCATCTGAACCCCACCTTTTGAATTTTCCCTCCTTTTCGCCATTTTTCAATTTATTAAATGAAAATAATTTATTTGGTCAATCGGACCACGAAACCTAATCGATTCAATAAATAATTTTTTTATCTTACGACATACAGTTGTAGGCTGTTTGAGGTTAGGATATAAGTTAGATATGTCGGCACGAATTGAAGCATGCCATTTGTTAGTATTTTTCGAGTGCATAGATAGCATTTTGAATGAAAGAGTTGATTAATTTTCCTTTTTTATTAACTTCTGGCATCTTACAATTTAACACAAAAGAAAACCAAAACAAACAAGCCTTCAAGGACTGTTATAGCATTAGTTTTGGTTCTACCAGTCGCTACAAGCAGCATTGCGGAAAATTTAAAGTTTAACATCCTAAGAAAAGGAGGGGGCCTTCATGATCTTACTAGACATTCCTCTATTCGAGTTAACACGAGTTAACATCTTACAAACGACGTGAGTATTATGCAGAAGCATGTGAGCCACCACTGAACTTAAAATGGGAAAAATATGCAAAAAACTGCCTAATTAAAATGTACGCTAAAGACAGTCCGCTATTAACGAAAGTAATCCATTTAGCTCAAAAAGTTTTGACAGACAGATAGTGGCGAAAGAAAAAAGCTCCGCTTATAGTCGAATCGTTCCTCTCCCTAGTCCCAATATTACATTCTGTTTACAAAAAGCCACCAATCTCGCAGAAATGCATTTCAGGGCAGACAGCTGCGAAAAGTTCCCAGATCACCTCCTTATCTTCACAGACGGATCAAAACTTAATGGCTCCACGGGTTGTGCATTTTATGACAGCATGAACAAGTATCACGAGGAACACCTACTTCCGAATCTGGTTAGCTCTTACACAGCAGAAGGTACAGCCATACTGAAAGCGCTGGAATACGCCGCGAGGATACCAAATAAAATTGGGATTATGACGGACAGTCTCAGCACGATATGCCAGCTACGCACTTTCAATTTTCATAATAAGTATGAATACATTTTAATCGAAATTGTCAGGTTAACCTTCAAATTAAAGAATCAAGGCAAAAATATTGTAATATGCTGGATAAAAGGGCATGCAGGTATAGAACATAATGAGAGAGTCGACCAGTTAGCCAAGGAGGCGACCATTAAAGGTTCTCCCACGCAGCTAACCGTCGGAGACGTGACAAATATCAAAAGAGACGTGTGCAGAAAGTGGGAAATTTGGTACGATACGGGCACAGCAGGGAATTTCTACCGGTCATTATTCCCAACATTACAAAAGAAGCCGTGGTTTCAAGAAATAGAGAGAGGAAAAGCTTTCTTCTCAACAATTACACGAATCCGAACTGGCCATGGCATCGTCGTGAGTACCCCTAGTGTTATACACAAAGTTTTACACTTAGCAGATTTAAGAATATTTAGAACTCTTCTGATAGTTACATTGCATTAATTGCACTGGGGGTAGTTTCTAAAAACAAAAAATGACTTATTATAATGGAACCCCTAGGAATACGAAGTTGTTTACAGAGTCTAATTCGTTATTCTGATAAATTTTTCTTTACATTTTCTACTGCGAATTTTACAAAATCTTAAAATTTTAGACTTTTCTTTAGAATTTAATTTACAATCATTTTTTTTTCTTTGGTTTGATTGATTGATCAGCCTTCTCAGTTTAAATATTTTTCTTTCCAAAAGGTAGATTGGGGATGAGGCCAGGAAGACAAAAACAACATGTACATATTTTCTTGTCGAGCTTTCGGTAGAAAATATCGCCTTCATCAGGACTCCGTATTAACAAATTAACATAAGTAAATTTGCAAATATACAATTTTTCAAAATTTTTCTTACTAACACGAAAAAATATATCGATATATTCTGCCGAAAGCTCGACAAGAAAATAAATTTTGTTTCTGTCTTCCTGGCCTCATTCCCAATCTACCTTTTGGAAAGAAAAATATTTACAATAATTCAATGCACTAGTTTCGTGGTCCGCTTGACCAATTAATATATTACAATTAATTAAGGTTTTCAGTTGAGATAAAAACGTCAATGGCACGAGCGGGATTCGAACCCACGATCTTCGGCTTGAATCCCGCTCATGCCATTGACTTTTTTATCTCAACAGAAAACCTTAATTAATTGTAATATATTAATTGGTCAAGCGGACCACGAAACTAGTGAATTGAATAAGTTTAAAATGAAGTTCATTTGTCGCCGAGAATCAAATTGATAACACGACATTTGAAAATGGCAAAAAGGAGGGAAAATTCAAAAGGTGTGGTTGAGATGAGAAGTTGATGTCCGAGTGGATCGAGGTCACGATAGCTCAAGTGGTAGAGCAGCGGCGTATCTAGCCGAAGATCGTGGGCAGGAATCCCGCTTGTGCCATTGACTTTTTATCTCAACTGAAAACCTTAATTAATTGTAATTTACAATAATTATTTAAAACGTTTGTATTTTATGTCTCTCTTTGTGTCAGCCAACGATATTAAATCATCGCATAGAGCAATAATGTAATATATTATAGCTGTCCAAACTTAGAACTTTCACTCCCATTTTCGTAAAACACATATCGATATATGAAATATAAAATAATGAAAACAGTAGCGGACTCAGCACTTTCCCTGTAGCGGGACACTTCGCTAAGGCAAATATTATTAGAATTTAATAATATTAGAATTATTATTAAAATATTCTCCTTTACCTTTAATTGAAATGAACTATGAAGAGTTTTCAGAAGTCGAATGTATTTCGCTCTTACTCAATAAATTAGGTTTAATCCATACAAGTTTATGATAGATCGAATCAAATGCTCTCCGATATGATAAAAGCCGCATATATTTTTGTTTTAGGCGCAGGACAATTTTTATTAGAGAAGAAAATATAAATATCAATATAAACCAGATCGAAACCCAGATTAACTTCCTAATGTATTAAAAAGAGGTTTATGAAATCATTCGTTTTATCTCTTATTCACAATCTAGTCTGCTCAATTCTATCTTAACAAGTCGATTCTTGCCATTTCGACGAGTAGAAGTGAATTATGATTTACTTTCTTGGCCGTTTATCGACAAGCGCTAGACGTCACATTGTATCCTGCTTCATTGAGACGGCTCGGTGCACGATGCGTGGTTCAAACGGTCGAACAGCAGGTCGAAGATGATTTGTGTTAATGCTGGCACGGAAGGGTCACTCGGTAGGTTTTCATCTCCGTCTCTTCCTGGATACAGTCCTCATGTCGTGTCCGATATAGTAGTGGAGAACCACCGACTACCCCTTGACGATTTGCCTTCGAACACCCCCGGGAAGTCACTCTGAAGCTGGACCATATAATGGATATGAATGTAGTGACGCCAATATATGACATAATGGTTGATATAATTCTTGAAACTGGAGATTGTATCAATAATCACCTTGCCACTAGTTTCGCAATGACATATAAAATTCTAAAAATAGCTAAAAATTCACTACTTTTCGAGGTCCGCTTGACCAAGGTTTTTAGTTGAGAAAAAAAAGCGTCACTAGCGGGATGGCAAAAAGGAGGTAAAATTCAAAAGGTGGGGTTGAGATGGGAAGTTGGTTTCCGAGTGGATCGAGGTCAAGATAGGTCAAGTGGTAGAGCAGCGGCGTATCTAACCGAAGATCGTGGGTTCGAATCCCGATCATGACATTGACTTTTTTATCTCAAATAAAAGCCTTAATTAATTGAAAGATACTAATTGGTCAAGCGGACCACGAAAACTAGTAAATTTAATAAGAAAAAATGAAGTATACAATAAGCTCTCCGTAGCCATTTCATTTGTCGTCGAGAATCTAATAGATTACACGACATATGAAAAATGGCAAAAAGGAGGGAAAATTAAAAAAAGGTGGGGTTGAGATGGGGAGTTGGTGTCCGAGTGGATCGAGGTCACGATAGCTCAAGTGGTAGAGCAGCGGCGTATCTAGCCGAAGATCATGGGTTCGAATCCCGCTCGTGACGCTGACTTTTTTATCTCAAATGAAAACCTTAATTAATTGAAAGTAGCTAAAAATGATGGTTCATTAACAACTTAACATATTACATAAATATCCTTTTGTTAGGATAATTTATATTAAACTTTGTAAATTTTTCTAATTATATATTATAAGAAATTAAACGTAAAAAAAGTTGTTTTATTGGTGAAAAGTGGAATTAGAAGATTCAATCATACTATATCAAATTAAATTAATTACCCTTAGAACTTAACTGTTTCCCGTGCTTCATCACTTTGTGGTTAACCACTAATTATTAACTCATTCCACTTTACTTGTATGTTATGTTTCATGTTTTTTTACCATACAAGGATATTGAGAGTTAAGAAACATACTTTACAACTTTTTACGTCTAATTAAAATTATTTTCAAATTAACGATTAGCACCCGAAATCACGTTTAATGTGAAATAGGTATAGATTCTAGATTTATGTTGGTTTGTCCAGTAAATGGATTTTCTAATTAATTTTACATTTTTGTTTGTCATTCATATTTAGTTTAGCGTGAAACACATTTTCAGAAAAATCCTCGAGTTGCATATATCAATCTGTTTACAAATTAAATTACAAATTTAAAAAAAGAAAAAATATCAGCTGGATTATAATATTGTGGTTTCATGTTTTACTTGAGAATGGAAGAGTAAATAAATATTATAGAATTTATAAACACACTAGCTTATGAAAATAATATGATTTACATTTTAAGAACTATTTTTTTTTATTATTTTATTTTTTTTATGAGATCGCCATGTAATGATATCATCATAGTCGAGAGGGGAGGGCTAGAATTTGGCCAGCTCAGTCGATCATAAGGGATCGATTGAATCGCGTCTCCGTGTAAAAAATAAAAAATACAAAAAATGGCCGTCTGCATTATTTGCACGTATTTAGTGTTTTTCAATAAACCTTCCTCGGTCGCTTGTCCCAAGTGCAGGCTGGTTTTCCACAAAAGGTGCGTGGCCGCGGGGACGCTCCGCTGCCCCAACTGCGGCCAGGGCCTCCGCTCGGACGCCGACGAGGAGGAGATCATGACCCCGGAGGAGGCGGCTCGGGTGCTCCAGTCGCTCAAGGTGAACGCCGCCCGCAGGTTCGAACGGAAAAAACGCAGGGCCAAGCGGACCGGAAGTCCCATAACGCGCATGATGACCAGGAGGATGATCCGCGAGGCGGTAGAGAAGTACAAGAATTCAGACTTAGCTCAGAGAAGTCCTTCGCCCCGACTTGCGGTAAGCACCTTACCACCCCTGAATTCGTTTTTACTACCTGGTAAATATGCTGATTACTGTCAAAAAGAAAGTTGATTGTATCGGAAGTGATGGGAGCTAACGACTTACAGTTTATGGGTTGCTTGAGAATCCAGTGTTTGGACAACTGCAAGGTTATTTTTGGATAAGAATTTTGCAGTAACTGATTATGTTATTTGTCTTTGTTTTTTTAAATTCACTTGGTCGTCTTCAGATTTCACGAGCATAAGACATAAATGTAGCCGAGGGCAATTTTACCATTGGTTATCCAGGTATCTCCTAAACCAACTCCAAATTTGCTTTTCTTGCAACCTGAACGAACCTTTTGTGGTTCTGATGTTGTAGAGACGGTGCACCCTCAGGTCATGTCTTGTCTCTTCAAAATTATCTTCATCTAAAGCCTCGGTAACCAATCGAATAGCAATGCGTTTCGGTTGTTCTTCAAGGTACTATTGAGATTCGGTCAAATGACTTGCTTCCCGGTTCAAATTCGATTGGAAAAGCTGTAGCCCCAGATCCATCATTTCTATCGTATATTTCTGTATTATCAGCCTAATTGCTCAATCGACTTTCATGAAACATAGGAAAATGATGGAATAATTGCAAAATTGATTTTTGAACAGAAACATTTTCTAGACAGAGTCCGTAAAAGTCGTTCTCTTCAAGATTAGGTAAGGGAACTTTCTAAGTAGATAACGAAGGAGATGACATTTCTTAGGAGGGAAGTTACGTCTTTGATTTCAGAACAGCTTCGAAAAAACTTCAAGATGAGATGAAAGAGTGTTCAAGTCTTGTCCAACCTTGTTATCTTTTGTACGTATAGTCATGAATGTAGATGGATAAGTGTTAGGCAAAAGGAAGGATTTTTCCTCATACTTGGCACAAGAGACATTATCGCGCCAAAAGGAACCGTTCGTGGTTCACATAGGACATTTTTGTCAGGAATTAAGTCAAATCGTCACGTTGTTTGGGATTGATGATTTGTAGTTTTATGTTAGGTACATCGACAAACGCCTGATGTGGAATCTTCACACAAGATTGAAACGTCAGGAGGTTATGACACGATTTAGAATTCTTGCACGACTTCTTGACAAACGCTCTAATTTACCTCTCAAAAATAAAAGGCTGCTTTACAACACCATAGTTAAGCCGATTTGGACTTACGGACTGGAAGTGTGGGGTTCAGCCAAACATTCCAATATCCACCGCATTCAAACTGCCCAGTCTTTAATACTATGACAAATACTAGATGCTCCATTTTATGTATCGAACCAAACTACACATACAGATTTACATATTCCTTTCGTACAAGATGAAATACGTTTCCGTTACCGTAAATTTCATAAAAACCTCCCAACTAACGTAAACCAACACATCAGAAACCTCGCATCCCGACGAATCCCTCAAACCCTCCCCGCCGACTGAAGAGACAATGGCCGCGAGATCTCCTAGGAAGATGGTGATGACAGTGAAAGTGATAATGACCCACGTATCAATTGAACAAACAATATTATTGTAACATTGGAGTAATACCAATGGGTGTTTTCTCCACTCTTGGTTTCAATTTTGTTTTGTTTTAATTACCTTTCTCACTGTTACTTATTACCTACTTTAAGGTAGTTGTAATGTACAACAAAATTTAAAAAAAAGAAAACATGTTTACAACGTCATTTACGTGTTCAGGAGAAGTCTTCAGCGGTACTTAAGGTCTAAGGACGGCCAATAATGTCTGAATAGTTCACAGTCGACTCGACCCTCAGCAGACTTTCGGGGGACGTTTCAAGGACCAGAAGCTCAGGGAAAAGTAGTAACTGGTCATGAAAGTTCATAATAAACGAAGAACAAGTTAAGGATGCATTAAGAAAAGTAGTCGAGGATATCGGAAAGTTATTGTATTAAGTGATTTCACATGAAGAAAGCATGTAGGATCTGGCACTTTCCAACGCCCAACCTCAAAATTTAAATTCAGGACTTAAAGGTTGTATAGATGTATGCAGTCTTTTGATCGGGTCCCGGGCATGCTTATAAACTTCAATGAGGTTTACATCCCTGTTGCAAACCTGTACGATAAGTCGGGCGAATTATTAGCACAAACTAACACAGGTTTAAAATGTTAAAAACCACTGTTCGATAGATTTAAACTCTCACAGACAAACAAAAGAAGACTGGATTGCCCTACTTGTCCCTAATTGGATATACGGACTTGAACTTTATGGGTCTGCTCTACAAATCTTCAGAACAATAATCACCGCCCCTTTGTATGTTTCCTACACCGTACATGCCGACATAAATTTTACACTTTTGTCTCTTTTTTAGCCCAATCCCGCACAAAAGGTTTCTAAGCTGTCGCATCATCCGAAAACCTTTGTCAGAAACCTGTCATCGACCACTTTATTTTATGAAAGATTTAAATAGCTTGACTAAAATTCTCTGCTTTCAAATTTAAAAAAGTAACGTTATAGGCTTTTCATTATAAACTATGACAAATTTTAAACATAAAATTATTTTCATTCGAGCAGAAATAACTTAAATTGTTACTGTAAACCTCCTTTCATAACTATAGTAAAATATAGTTAACCTCACTGACGATGGCGCAGTGTCGAACCCAATAAAAGACCGGATTACCATAAATTCACTGACGCGCAGACCAACTCTTAAACTTTAATTTTCAGATCGAAACATTAGTACTGAGTATTTTTTTTTTTAATTTCGAATTTTTAGAAGCATTCTATCTTTATTTACTCTGAATTCCGTTCATTTCGCCTAGGCATGTTCTGTTTTTATATTATGGTGTGGGGAGAAAGCAGTAAGAATATATTACGCACCCTAAAATCACTTAAAATTGTCAAATAATTTTAAATATACCAAGAATATACCACACAAAGTTGCTGAACAAGGAATTTACTGTTATAAATTTTAAAAAATAATTAAAGGATTAGTTTCGCGAAAAATATTTATGACCTACTTTACTTAGTTGAAAAATATTTGGTTTTAGAAATTTTTGGTTAGTGATAAACTTTGATAGCCTTTACTATATTTTTGTTGTAATCTACATAAACAATGCTGTGAATGTGTGAACGATAGCTCAAGTGGTTAGACCAGCGGCGTATTGAGCGGAAGGTCGTGGGTTCGAATCCCGCTCGTGACACTGACCCTTTTATCTCAACCAATACCTTACATAAAGGTTAATTAATTGAAAAAAGTTATTTGGTGAATCGGACCACGAAATATAATGGATTTAAAAGAATTTTTTTTAAAATGTTCATGTCTTCATACGTTTAAACATAAATTATTTCATAAATCATTAAACTTATAACATACATAATAAAACTATGATTCACCAAAAATCAATACAACTAAATACTTTAATTATTATTATAACAGGGTACTTAAATATAAAAACTAAACACTGGAAATAAATAAAAATAATTAAATTCACTAATTTCGTGGTCCGCTTGACCAATTAATATATTACAATTAATTAAGGTTTTTAGTTGATATAAAAAAGTCAATGGCACGATTGCTCAAGTGGGAGAGCAGCGGCGTATCTAGCCGAAGATCGTGGGTTCGAATCCCGCTCGTGCCATTGACTTTTTTATCTCAACTAAAAACCTTAATTAATTGTAATAAAAATAATATTAATTAAATAATATTAATATTAATTTAATAATAATATTAATAATATAAATATATAAACTTATTATTTTTATTTATGAAAATATAATAATATATCAGAAATGTTAGAACTTTAGACAGTTGGAAAAAAATTATATTTCATACATTCTTCACTCAAGAAATTAAGCTTCTCACTCTCTTTTTGTTGAAAATTACTATTTTCTTTTATTTGTACTATTATAATAAATAAAACATTTTTAGTTTTACAACTCCTACTATCCAGCATACGTTTTATACTTATGGAAAGTAGGCTGTAATGGCAGCATAAGAAATAGTTTTTTAATTCAGTGCTAATTCGACTTTGAATCCAAAAAAAAAACTGTACTGCCTTTTTCATTTGTTATTATTTTATTATTATTAAAATTTTCGCAGGAGAAACACTCCGCGTCAACCTGGTTGATAATGATTTTCAAATATATAATTTGTTTTATTTACCTATTATCTGACTATACAATCATACCTTAAGGAGAGATTTTTCGCAGGGATCGTGGACTTCAGGTTGCCAAGGGGTGAATGAAATAGCGCAACAACAAATGAAATTGCACTTTCCATATCATACGCAGATGATAACGCCGATTAACAAGTCACCCGTCATCTACTAGTTTCCCTTATGTTAAACCAAAACGTCAACAATGAAAAAATTGAGCAAACTTTGGACAACAGTTTAACCCCTCAAAGTCCCAACATATCACCTTTCCACGTGTGTCGTCAGTATAGGTAGATTATACTACGAAACTCAAACCGACACCACCTGTGGCTTTCATTTCATTGAAGACTAACTGGGTAGATAAAAACTTAACTCATAATTACCATTAAAATCATAACTTTACATACATAACTACTCACATACAAATACCTACTCAAACCTATTTAGATGTTATTATCATAATATTATCACTGATGGACATTTATTTAAATGCACGACCCTTAAATTTATAAATTTTATTTAGGTCTATTAATATTTTTCATACCAAAAGTAGGTTTAGTTGAAAAAAAAGAAAAATAATAATAAAAATTAAAAATGTAAATTTTTTTTGTTGTTACCTCTAATATCGAGTATTTCTTCTTGGACGAATCACGCATGTAAAACGCCTTTGCATTGGAAAAGATTTCTGGTAAAATCCTGAGGAATTCTTTGCTATTCATCAAAAACAGCCGTTTCCAACTTTTCTAGGGTGTTAGGACCAAGGTTTCGCCGTTGTACTCATCGTATAAGTTGGTCCCAAATGTGTTCGAAATGGTTGAAATGTGGACTTCGATCTGGCCACACCAAGCACTTCATTAAAGCATTCATCCACAATACGTGC